TTAAAACAGCTAACTAAGCGGATTTACCAATAGATTTAATAAAAACCGAAAAAATCGTGATGACTCACCTCGGCATAGGTGCCCTCCTTTTGGGGCACCACAAAGTGGATGCCCCCCTGGGGCTGCTCCAGCGAGAACTCGATGCCGACGCGCAGCGCCGTGCCCTCGGCCACCAGATGCACAGCCTCGGGCGGAATGGTGATCACTAATTCGCCCGCGCTGCTGTCCGGGTCGGTCTTGAGGGCCGCAGTCAGATGATACTGCGAGAACTGCTCGAGGCTGCGCCTAAAAGCGCCAAACATCCATTCCAGCCCTGCGCCCCTGCCCGCAAAACTCACGTGTCATTGTCGCTCTGGCACACATCCAGAAAGGGGTCAAAGTACTGGAAATGCGCCTCGTACTGGTCATTCAGCAGCACCTTGTAGACCCGGCACTGTTTGGCGTTGATTTTGATCACACGCAGCGTGTCCCGGATCGGGACGACCGTCAGCTCCGCAAACCCCTAAAACACGCTCACTTCCATCACCTGCCACTAACGGCAAAAACCCACTCACTATAATGCTCTTCCGCTCGAAACTGATCCCGGTGAGGCTCAGAATCTGATGGGCTGAAACAGGGGGCGCATTAGCCGACCATTAGGGGGGCCGAAACAATAAGGTTACCTACCTAGCTTGAAGGGCCGCACAGTGTCCCCCGTTTTGGGCTGCTTCATTTTCAAGGGCCTGTGGCCTGCTTCAAGGGCACTGCCCGCAATCCGGAACCCTATTTTGGGGGCTTATTTGGCAAATTCGTCGGCTTGTTTTCCTCATCGGCCAAAACACAAAACAATATGGCGGCGACAGATCGCAGAGGTTACTCTGTGAAGGCGGCCGCTGATCGGTTGACAGCTGAAGGTGCTGCGCACTGCACACGGCGACAACGCTGCCTAGAGGCCCTAAATCGTCGAGAATTTCCTTGTATTAATTAATTTTCGGGAATAGAAAAACCGCACAATTTGTAATTAAAATATATTAAGTGACTTGGCGGACAGGGCGAGTACAGCGACAGCCTAAAAGTACTTAAAACCCTACCGGATAATTGACTAAGTACGCCACAAATGCCCGGTTTCGCACAAGTATGTAAACTCGATATAAAAACATTGGGGGAAATATTTAAAACTAACATATAAAAAAACTAACTCTACGGTTCAGATCTGGAGCAACTGAGTAGGGGAGTTTCGGGGGGTTTTGGGGGTCAATTTTAACGTTTTTCCGCGCAAAACTAGTGCAAAATGTCGCGGAGTTTGGAAAAATTTTAACCAAAAGTAAAGTTTCAAGTTTATCAAAAACCGGCGAACGAATCAAAATTCCCACCGCAGATTCGGGTTTCTGAGTGAATTTCAGCTGAAAACGAGTACAAAGTCGATAGGGCCGGAAAGAACTCCGGAAGTTGAAAGTGAAGTTCCCCCTACATAACCGCAAAATTAGAAAGTTTTAGCCGAAGTCACACGAAAGTTGCGAGCAGTTGAACGCTCAAGTGGACAATTGGCGCTTTTCTCACTGCCCGGTATTAATTTTTTAAAACCCCTTTCGCCTTGGAAAATGGACGAAAACTTCCGGAAGTTCAAAGTGAAGTTTCCACTACACAAAAGCAAATTTTGACAATTCTGGCCAAAGCGGTTTGGGAGTTGTGCGCACTTGAACGCTAAAATGCGCAATCGTCAGTTCTCCCAGTTTCGGGAGTTGCACTTTTTTCAAAACTCTTCCTGCCTTTGAAGCTAGATGGGAGTTACCGGAAGTTGAAAGTGAAGTTTCCACTTCACAATGGTAAAATTTAAAAGTTCCAGTCAAAGTCGCTTGGAAGTTGTGGGCAGTTGAACGGTCAAGTACACAATCGGCGCTTCTCCCGCGGTCCGACATTGAAAATTTTCAAAACTCTTGCAGACGTGGCAGTTGGAAGAATATTTCCGGAAGTTCAAAGTGAAGTTTTCGCGCAAATGCGCAATCGTCACTTCTCCCAGTTTCGGGAGTTGCACTTTTTTCAAAACTCTTCCTGCATTTGAAGCTGGATGGGAGTTACCGGAAGTTGAAAGTGAAGTTTTCACTTCACAATGGTAAAATTTAAAAGTTCCAGTCGAAGACGCTTGGAAGTTGTGAGCAGTTGAACGGTCAAGTACACAATCGGCACTTCTCCCGCGGTCCGACATTGAAAATTTTCAAAACTCGTTCAGACGTGGCAGTTGGAAGAATATTTCCGGAAGTTCAAAGTGAAGTTTTCACTACACAAAAGCAAATTTTGACAATTCTGGCCAAAGCGGTTTGGGAGTTGTGCGCACTTAAACGCTAAAATGCGCAATAGTCACTTCTCCCAGTTTCGGGAGTTGCACTTTTTTCAAAACTCTTCCTGCCTTTGAAGCTGGATGGGAGTTACCGGAAGTTGAAAGTGAAGTTTCCACTTCACAATGGTAAAATTTAAAAGTTCCAGTCAAAGTCGCTTGGAAGTTGTGAGCAGTTGAACGGTCAAGTACACAATCGGCGCTTCTCCCGCGGTCCGACATTAAAAATTTTCAAAACTCTTGCAGACGTGGCAGTTGGAAGAAAATTCCCGGAAGTTGAAAGTGAAGTTTCCACTACACAAAGGCGAATTCTGATAATTCTGGCTCAAGCGGTTTGGAAGTTGTGCGCACTTAAACGCTAAAATGCGCAATAGTCACTTTTCCCAGTTTCGGGAGTTGCACTTTTTTCAAAACTCTTCCTGCATTTGAAGCTGTATGAGAGTTACCGGAAGTTGAAAGTGAASTTTTCACTTCACAATGGTAAAATTTAAAAGTTCCAGTCGAAGTCGCTTGGAAGTTGTGAGCAGTTGAACGGTCAAGTACACAATCGRCGCTTCTCCCGCGGTCCGACATKGAAAATTTTSAAAACTCTTTCMGACRTGGSAGTTGGACKAAAACTTCCGRAARTTGRAAGTGAARYTTCCACCATASAAASGCAAATTTTGACAAYTCTGGCCMAAGCGGCTTAGGAGTTGTGMGCARTTGAACGCTCAAGTGCACAATCGACGYWTCTCCCGCGGTCYGACATTGATAATTTTCAAAACTCTCCGACGTGGGAGTTGGACTAAAACTTCCGGATGTTGGAGGTGAAACTTTCTCTATACAAAGGCAAATATTGACAATTCTGGCCCAAGCGGCTTAGGAGTTGTGCGCAATTGAACGCTCAAGTGCACAATCGAGGCATGTCCCGCGGTCCGACATTGATAATTTTCAAAACTCTCCGACGYGGGAGTTGGACKAAAACTTCCGRATGTTGGAGGTGAAACTTCCACTAKACAAAGGCAAATTTTGACAATTCTGGCCCAAGCGGCTTAGGAGTTGTRCGCAATTGAACGCTCAAGTGCAMAATCGRCACTTCTCYCACTGTCCGACATCGCAATTTTCAAAACTCKTTCCAACGTGGGAGTTGGACGAAAACTTCCGGAAGTTGAMAGTGAAGTTTSCACCATACAAAGGCAAATTTTGACAATTCTGGCCAGAGCGGTTTGGGAGTTGTGCGCACTTGAACGCTCAAATGCGCAATCRWCACTTCTCCCACTGTCCGACATTGCAATTTCTCGACTCTTTCCAACGYGGGAGTTGGAYGAAAACTTCCGGAAGTTGAAAGTGAAGTTTCCACTGCACAGTGGCAAATTTTGACAGTTCCGTCCAAACCGGTTTGGMARCTGCGCGAAATCGCACGCTGACGCGCCCAATCGAAACTTCCGCYAGCGCCGGAAGTTGCCTWTTTTTGAAAACTCCTTTCRSCTTTGCACCCCATCGACATGGTACTCATTTTCAGCTGAAATTGACTCAGCAAGCGAATGGCGGCGCCCAAATGAGCAAATCGGCACYCGTCGCGCAGATACCCCGCTTTTCCGGCCAAAACCCCCCGAGAAACGGACAGTAGACGGTCTAAAAAGTATGCGAACCACAGCCAATGATAGAAGGAGACCCGCCGCTGGCGGGCCAGTTAAACCACCTGCACATGATGGGGCGGCTCATCCGAAAAGAGCTTGTTCCCGGTGACGTCCCCAATCTGATCGTTCATCCGCTTCAGCTCCTTCATGCTGATCTCGTACTTGTGCGCGACCAGCGACCGATAGAAATGGATGGCGAACGCCAGGAACACGAACAGAATCGGCACCAAAACGACCGTCGCTGACCAGGCGGCCGTGGTGTTCACATTGTAGAACTTCAGCCAGCAGATGATCGCGATCTCGGCGAGAAACAGCAGCAGGCCGAGCAGCGTGGAAAACGCCCACGCGATCTCGATGTACCAGTGGAGGCGCTCGTGGGGCGATTCGTCCACCAAGCTGATCGAGTCCAGGCTGCACACCGTTTCGATGTTGGGCAGGATGCAGGTGCTGATCATCAGGGCCAGCATGTGCACGGCCACCAGCAGTGTGGTGATCACGGCGAAAATCACCAGAATGGGCGACGGGATGGCGGACTCGTTGTTCAGCTGCAGCTCCACCATCGCCACCATGGCGAACCCGGAAAGTAGGGCCGACGTCTTGCTCGACGCCTTCAGCTTCGCTCGCGACAGGTGCATCTTCCTCCAGGAGAGGTAGCGCGGCGTGTGGAACATTTCCTCGGACATTGGCATGTGTTTGCGCTGCAACATTGCCGGGACTTTAGCCGCAACATGATCGGGGGGCGTTTTGGGGCTGTTTCCACTTGATCGGGGCGAAATGCCGTTTCAGGTCCAGCTCGAGCGGTTTGGAAGTTGCCAGCTTCTCTCGCGCGAATTAAAGTTCCCGGCAGTTGACTGAAGTTTTCACTACCCAACGGCAAAGTTTCACAGTTTCAGTCAGTGTCTAACATGCCAACTTTGTCAAAACCCTCCCACCTTGATTCTAGACGCAACTGTCCGGAAGATACAGATGACGTTTCCTCTTTGCAATGTCAACATTTGACAGCTCTAGACAAAGAAGGTTAGTTTGGCCCTAATTGTAGCCCCCTTGGAATACATTGTTGCCAGATTTCAGCTGATTTGAGGCGTCATTAGAGAAAGAAAGCGAGAGAAAACGAGAAAGACCTTATCATATATTTAACGAGTTATTTAAGACATCGATAAAATAAACTATTTCCGATTTAAAATGTCAACCAAAAATCAGTTTTAGATTTCTAATGTTGAAAGAATTTAAAAAAAATTAATTAAAATATTGAAATTAAAATATTGAAAAAATATAATTGAAAGTTTCAGTCAAAGTCGCTTGGAAATTGTGAGCAGTTGAACGCTCAAGTGCACAATCGACGCTTCTCCCGCGGTCCGWCATTGCAAATTTTCAAAACTCTTTCAGACGTGGCAGTTGGACGAAAACTTCCGGAAGTTGAAACTGAAGTTTCCACTACACAAAGGCGATTTTTGACCATTCTGGCTCAAGCAGTTTGGGAGTTGTGCGCACTTGAACGCTAAAATGCACCATTGCCACTTCTCCCAGTTTTGGAAGTTACAATTTTTTCAAAACTCCTCCTGCCTTTGAAGCTGGATGGAAGTTTCCGGAAGTTGAAAGTAAAGTTTCCACTTCACAATGGCAAAATTTGAAAGTTTCAGTCAAAGTCGCTTGGAAATTGTGAGCAGTTGAACGCTCAAGTGCACAATCGACGCTTCTCCCGCGGTCCGACATTGCAAATTTTCAAAGCTCTTTCAGACGTGGCAGTTGGACGAAAATTTCCGGAAGTTGAAAGTGAAGTTTCCACTAAACAAAGGCCAATTCTGACAATTCTGGATCAAGCGGTTTGGGAGTTGTGCGCGCTTGAACGCTAAAATGCACCATTGCCACTTCTCCCAGTTTTGGAAATTGCAATTTTTCAAAACTCCTCCTGCCTTGAAGCTAGACGGAAGTTTCCGGAAGTTGAAAGTAAAGTTTCCACTTCACAATGGCCAAATTTAAAAGTTTCAGTCGAAGTCGCTTGGAAGTTGTGAGCAGTTGAACGCTCAAGTGCACAATCGACGTTTCTCCCGCGGTCCGACATTGCAAATTTTTAAAACTCTTTCAGACGTGGCAGTTGGACGAAAACTTCCGGAAGCTGAAAGTGAAGTTTCCACTACACAAAGGCAAATTTTGACCATTCTGGCTCGAGCGGTTTGGGAGTTGTGCGCACTTGAACGCTAAAATCCACCATTGCCGCTTCTCCCAGTTATGGAAGTTACAATTTTTTCAAAACTCCTCCTGCCTTTGAAGCTGGACGGAAGTTTCAGGAAGTTGAAAGTAAAGTTTCCACTTCACAATGGCAAAATTTAAAAGTTTCAGTCGAAGTCGCTTGGAAGTTGTGAGCAGTTGAATGCTCAAGTGCACAATCGACGCTTCGCCCGCGGTCCGACATTGCAAATTTTCAAAACTCTTTCAGACGTGGCAGTTGGACGAAAACTTCCTGAAGTTGAAAGTAAAGTTTCCACTACACAAAGGCGAATTTTGACCATTCTGGCTCAAGCGGTTTGAGAGTTGTGCGCACTTGAACGCTAAAATGCACCATTGCCACTTCTCCCAGTTTTGGAAGTTACAATTTTTTCAAAACTTCTCCTGCCTTTGAAGCTGGACGGAAGTTTCAGGAAGTTGAAAGTAAAGTTTCCACTACACAAAGGCAAAATGTGAAAGTTTCAGTCGAAGTCGCTTGGAAGTTGTGAGCAGTTGAACCCTCAAGTGCACAATCGACGATTCTCCCGCGGTCCGACATTGCAAATTTTCAAAACTGTTTCCGACGTGGCAGTTGGACGAAAACTTCCGGAAGTTGAAAGTGAAGTTTCCACTACACAAAGGCGAATTTTGCCCATTCTGGCTCAAACGGTTTGGGAGTTGTGCGCACTTGAACGCTAAAATCCACCATTGCTACTTCTCCCAGTTTTGGAAATTGAAATTTTTTCAAAATTCCTCCTGCCTTTGAAGCTGGACGGAAGTTTCCGGAAGTTGAAAGTAAAGTTTCCACTTCACAATGGCAAAATTTGAAAGTTTCAGTCGAAGTCGCTTGGAAATTGTGAGCAGTTGAACGCTCAAGTGCACAATCGACGCTTCTCCCGCGGTCCGTCATTGCAAATTTTCAAAACTCTTTCAGACGTGGCAGTTGGACGAAAACTTCCGGAAGTTGAAA